TTGCCTTACTTTCGTTAGTTGCTTAGAAACCGCTTTCATAACTATACTATATATAGTATGTATACTGTATGTATATTATATTTTTGATAAGATCTAGCTTTTAATACAATATATAGTCTGTTTCACTTCAGCTATTATTTTGACTCGGATTTGTMAAATTTTTTGAAATATCCCTTGCCTTACTCGCTCATAACCATATACCACTTGAATTACTATACTATATGTATTTATATTATATTATTGATAAGATATTCTTTTCAATATAATCTGATTCACTTCTGCTATTGTCTCCCATTCGGTTCGGTTTCGACTTGAAATGGGAATTTTATTGCGCTGCTCCTCTCTCTCGTTCCCTATGTCAATCTCCCTCTCCCACTCCTTCTCCATCTCTCTTTCTCTCTCTCCCTCTCTCTCATKATGTGCATTATGCATTACTAGGTAAACTATTGACTTTATTGCATCTGGAATTCTAGTGTCCATAGGCTTATCTAAGTTACAAATTATATATGATGGCTGTTTAGGGTTCTACGCTCCTCCTCCTGCTCTTCATTGCCTCGGTGGCCAGCTTAGTTAGCCTTATCGCACAGATCGCCCAGGCAATCGCCCACGTAGTCCGGCATGTGGGCATGGCCCGCGGGCAGGCTGTCCACGTCCGCCTGGCTGCTGCCGCCGGTGAGCACCAGCAGCGTCTGGTAGCCGCTGGCGCGCGCGAAACCAATGTCACTGGCCAGACTGTCGCCGACGAAGAGCACGCGGTTGGGCGGGATGTGGGCGTGATGCTGGCGCAGCAGCTGACGCAGTGCCTCGCCCGGTTTGCCCAGCACCGTTGGTTGCCGGCCCGTCGACTGGGCGACAATGTCGATGAATGGTCCTGGTCCTAGAGCGAAACGGAATCCTTTAGTTACCCTAGGCCTAGCCACTGCTAAACCATTGCCTACCGATGATGTCGCCATTGCCGAAGGGWATCAGCGCATCCGCAGCGCCRGCCAGAAACAAACAGCTGGGATTCTGCAGCTGGACGTGGGCACGCATCAGCTTGGTCGCCGTCAGATTGAAATCGACATCGATGATGACCGCATCCACGGGCTCGCCGCCAAAGATGGCCTCGCGCAGCTCGGCCAGAGTCTTGATGACGGAGCCCTCGCGCTGGTCGGATGAGAACGAGCTGAATCCCTGTCAAGCACTCCGAGGCAAGGCAACTCACCTCCTGGCTCAGCCGAAAGCCAGCATCGCGCAGCAGCTGCTTGAAGGGCGGCGTCGCCAAGCAATATATCATCCCGCCGAAGCCAATGTCCTTCAGATGGTCACAAACGGCCTGCGCTGGATGCACAATCTGTTCCTGTGGGCCAAGACTTATAGAATAATCCTCTAGTACCTGATCTCTGGACATACCTTCGCTACATGCACCTGCGCCTGCTCGGCAAACTTGTGCAGATGCTCCGCCACGGAGCTGATGCTGTTGTTGGTCACAAAGGTCAGCCGCTTCCCGCGACGCTGCAGCTCCGCCAGGGCTTGGGCCGAGCCGGGTATAAAGTCTCGCAGCGTATACCAGACGACACCTGCAAGCAAGCCCGAAACATTAAAAGGCCCTCGCTCCTTTGGAAAATTACACTCTTGGACTGTAGACCTCTTAAGCCTGCAGACTCYTAGCTCTTTTGGTCCTTTAGAAAGGGTCTAAAGGGATATTTGAGCCATTCAACTCTTTACCCTTACACCCTTAAATGTTTGAACCTTTAGACTATATTACTTTTAAGCTTTTTAGTCATTGGACTTTTATAACCTTAGAGCTTCAGAGCTTTGGGCCTTTAGACCCTGAGACCTTAAGTGCGAATTTGCGAATTTTGAACCTTGTACCCTCTCAGATTCTTAGACCTTTTAACT